CAGCTCACCTGAATCAGTGGGGGACTACATGTGAGGTGGCCCAAATGGGCCAGGGTCCCAAATGAGCCAACTTCCCAAGCCCAGCGTATATATGCACAGACACACCCAGAGTCACACACACCTCCTCCAGGAAGCCTTCTCGAATGGCCCCGCCCTATCCCTGGGTTCCTGCACAATCGTGCCAAGTGACTCCTTTGATGTGCAGTAGTGGCCATCTCCTGGTGTGATCTGGGGGCCCAAAACAGTGGCAGGGGCTCAGGGTCACTACAGATTGAATTGTGCCTACCATCCCCACCTCCCCAAATTCATATGTCAAAGACCTAAGCCTCAGTGAGACTGTATTTGGAGATGGGGCCTTTAGGGAGGTAATTAAGGTTAAATGCGGTCATAAGGATGAAGTCCTAATCAGTGGTCGGCAAACTCATTAGTCAACAGAGCCAAATGTCAAAGTCCTAATCAGTGGTCGGCAAACTCATTAGTCAACAGAGCCAAATATCAACAGTACAACGATTGAAATTTCTTTTGAGAGTCAAATTTTTTACACTTAAACTATATAGGTAGGTACATTGTTATTAACTTAATTAGGGTACTCCGAAGGCTTAGGAAGAGCCACACTCAAGGGGCCAAAGAGCCGCATGTGGCTCGTGAGCCGCAGTTTGCCGACCACGGTCCTAATTCAACAGGACTAGTGTCCTTATAAGGGGAAGAGACATCAAAGACCGCTCTCTCTCTCTCCCCCTCCTACCCCCAGAGGAGATTCCATGTGAGGACACAGAAGGCAGCCGTCAGTAAGCCAGGAAGAGAGGCCTCACCAGAAACTAACTCTATCAGTGCCCTGAGCTCAGACTCATAGCCTCCAGACGGTGAGAAGTAGATGTTGTTGAAGCCACTCAGCCTGTGGCATTTTGTTGTGGCAGCTCGAGCTGATGAACACAGGGTGTGTGATCAAAAGAGTGAGGTTTGAGGCTCAGTCCTGCCATTTACAAGCTCAGTGATCTCTAACAACCATTTGGCCTCCGTTTCCTGGTCTGTAGAATAGAGCTATGCCTCTCTGCCCTGCCTGCTTCCCTGAGAGGCCTGTGGAGGCCCAGGAGAAGACAGACAGGTGGCAGGGTAGGAGGGTCTGGCCTGGGGCAAGAGAGGGACACAAGGTCCATCCTGGGAGACCCCAGACAAACCACGTGATCAGAGCATCTACCGTAGGGGGAGCATTTGCTACGCGCGAGGCACAATCAATCTGATTTCTCAGGTGAGCAATAGGGATAAGGATCCTGCGGCTCCGGGGAGTGGCAGCCAGACGCTAACATGGGCACAGCATTGGAGCCAGGGCTAGCCATGCCCTCGGGGCAGCCGCCCAGGAACCCTGCCTCCTAGCCCTCACTACCCTGGCCCGGCCACACTCACTGGTGCCCTGGGACCTGGCCCGGTGCTGCCTCTCCAGGGCCCAATGGGGAACTCAGCTGGGGTCTTGGAAAGAAGCGGCCAAGCCATCCCAAGCCATCCGCGGCATGGTCCCCGGCTCACATGCTTTCCACACTGAGGCCTCTCCCCTTGGGGTGTGACTGACGCGGCCATCCCAAGAGGACCAGGATCTGTTCCGCAGATGCTGCCCGGCCCCATCTGGAAGGCGGCCTCAACACCTTGTCCAAAATCCAGTCTCCATGGGGCCAAGGTGTCTGAGTCAAGAAGCAGGCGCCCCACCCATCCAACACCCTCCTAGTGGCCATGAAGAAGCCCTGATACACAAAGGGGGTGCGTGGGTCACCACGTGGCCATGAGGGCAGGTGGGGGATGAGAGGTGGGAAGGCGATGGGGGACCCTCGCGTGCATGGAAAGGAACGTAAGCAGAGCTGTCTAATGGTGGGGTGCTGAGTTTGAGCTGCTATTGCTATCATTGAACAAACTTCAGTCACAATTTCCCTGGCGCCTGGACGCAGGTCTTTGGAGGGCAGCCAAACCAACAAGAATTTAGACTCTAATGCTCCCCCCTCCCCCCGCAGGGGCAGGAATTCAGTCAAGGTATGCACCAGAACGGACATTCCCCACCAATCCCGGTTAATGACTATGACCTTTTCAAACATCTCCCAGACCACAAGCACCAATGGCACCCCAGGATGCTCCCACGTGGTGCCTTAGTCTCTATCTCCCAGGAGACAGATCTGCAGACAAGACATAGGATCCTCTTAAGGCACCTCCTTTTTGTGCCGAGACAGTCTTGGGCGCGAAGGAATTTGACCAGAGTAAGCAGAAGGCCACAGCCCATCCTGTCTCCCGTTTTGTTGCTTTATCTTTGGAACAAAAACAAGCTTCACCTGCATTTATGGTCAAATCGGTCAAATCACTATTCCTTACTCAGTCCTGCTGTCACGTAAAAGGAAAAAAAACAACAACATTTACAGACCACTTTTATTACCTCGGACAGGGCAAAGCACTTGGCAGCCTTCTGTGCCTGGGCTCCAGGCTCTGTTTGGCTCCGGCTGCCTTCACACCTCACTGGTTGCTAAGAATCTTTCCTCGCCTCGCCTGGCTTCACCCACAAGCTGTTGTTCGGTGGGGGTGGAAGCTCCCGTCCCAGGCTGGGTCTTCTTTGACAAGGCCATAGAGGTGCCGTGCGATAGCCTAGCACTGGTAGGTTGAAAAGGGAGAGCTGGAGACTAAATTTCAGTAAAGCAAAGCCTTTATCCTTTTGTCAATTTGAGAAGGGTTCCCACACAGGAAGGCAAATCCTCCCCTCGACTATGTTGAAAACTCGTGAGCAAAGGGACCCATGGTGGCTGGGCTGAGTCTACTGGATGCTGAAGCATAGAGAAGGTCATGGTTCTGTTTTGTTATTTATTTTTTATTTTTAAAAAATATTTTTTATTGATATCCGAGAGGAAAGAGAGGGAGAGAGAGATAGAAACATCAATGATGAGAGAGAATCATTGATCTGCTGCCTCCTGCAGGCCCCACTCTGGGGATCAAGCCCGCAACCTGAGCATGTGCCCTGACCAGGAATCGAACAGTGAGCTTCTGATTCTCAAGTTGATGCTCACCCACCGAGCCGCGGGCTGTTTTTTATTTTTGATAGCTTTCTCTGTTCTAGGCTCTTCCCTGTTGAGGGTCCTGGGGCACGAATGGAAATCAGCCTGGGGTCAAAGGAAAGAGAAGGATCTGGAAAAGCCGACAGCCTGTTCAAAGCTGGATTTAGGCAGTGCTGGGAGTAGGCATCCAGGCACAGTTAAAGGGCTGATCTGACAAGGCATCAGGAAGGTAGGCCAATAGGACTCTGGCCAGCCCAATCTCAGAAATCAGACAAGACCCCAGAAATCCAGAAGGGATGAGCAGTGAACATGGTCTAAAGTTGGGGCTCAGAGCCCCAATCAGAGCATTGACAGCCATGGAAGAAATGAGGTAGCAACCAGTGGAAGAGCTGGGGGCAGGCACTGGCATAGATGAGCCCGAGAGCTCAGCTGTCCAGCTCTAACATGGTTCTTCTGGGTCATAAGCCATCCTTAGCAGAGCCATCTGTACCAGATACCATGCGATAGCCTAGCACTGGTAGGCTGCAGTGATCTGCTCAGCAGATGCTGCCCGGCCCAGTTTGGATAGAGCATTGGCCTACGGACTGAAGGGTCCCGGTTCGATTCCAGTCAAGGACACATGCCCAGGCTGCAGGCTCGATCCCCAGTATGGGAAGTGCAAGAGGCAGTCAATCAATGATTCTCTCTCATCATTGATGTTTCTATCTCTCCCTCTCCCTTCCTCTCTGAAATCAATAAAAATATTTTTAAAAATAAATAAAATAAAATAAAATTCTGGGCCTAGAGACTAATTCTATAAAGCTTTGGAACTACTTATTTCTTAAAAGCTCCAAGGTGATGCTGATGTAATCCTCTAGGCACCCTGATGGACACTAATTTTCCATCTCACTGAGGGAGAGGGCATATAGGCATTGATATTGTTGTTATGCCTTTTTTGAGTTGCCCTTTGCACCCTGAGAATTTCTGTTTTGTCTTAACCTATGATAGTGTCATACTCTACTTGACAGATTTTGCTCTTTTCTATGCCCTTTTTACTAGTGTTCTGAATATAACATTTACTCTTGCTACAAACTTTTGTCCCATAGAGCTAGGTTGTAATATTCCAGTTGTTCAGTAGGTGTCGCTGTAACACACGGGGAGCATGACCCAGTCTTGAAATTCTTCTCCATCAAGGTTCTCAGGCCTACAGACTGTATTAGCACCTTTCTTCATAAGTTTGCTAAATTTAAACATTTCTAGCATGAGTTATTTTAGAATAAAGAGAATGAAGGATAACTATAGAACAATATAACAATTGTTCTCAAAGCTCAGAAAATGCCATTTCATAAGGATTGTCTTTTAAGTCACTGTTTCTCTTATCCTTCCCCTTTCCTCTACTTCAGCGGTTCTCAAACTTTATGGACTCAGAACTTCATTGCACCTCTAAAAATGATCGAGGGCCCCGAACAGCTTTTGTTTGTGTGGGTTATATCTATTAATATTTTCCATATTAGAAAATAAAATTGAGAATAATTTACACACAAGAATAGACAAGCATCCATTCCGTTAACCATCAGAGCGATGATGTTATCACACATCAAGGAGCCTCGAGGAAACTACTGTACACTCACGAGAGAATAAGAGTGAAAAGGAAAAATAGTATTACCAGGGATGATTCTGCATTATTCTGAAATAGTTCTGGCCTCACTGAAAGGGTCTCAGGTCCTCTAAAAGTCCTGATCCGCATTTGGAAATTGCCACTCTACTAGTTTCCAAGTATCACTGTCTGTCACTCACAAATCCAAAATTCATCAACATGTTTACTTTCCTCCCGAAAGAGACAGCCGGAGCTTTCAATGCTTTAATTCCGATTATGCCCTCCCAGCTCACATGTTCTAATCGTCCAGTACTTCAGTTCTGTCTTGTTTTTATTGAATCCCTCCATTGAGACATCATTTTATACAACCAGCATTTGTTTAAATACAGCCAAATATTTACCAAAGTTGTTGCACATCATCCCACCTTGTACCTCAGGCCTTCCGTCCAGTGTTTTCTTTTGCCTGAAGTTCGGCCCTCCGAACGTCCTATCGTGAAGTAAATGTGTAGAAAATTATCCAAGCTTTGTTCTTCTTTCTCTGCCTTCTATCTCTAATGTTGCTCTTATTCTCGAAAGGAACTTCCACTGGGTATAGAACTATAGGCTAATCGTTACTTTCTCTCAGCACATTGAAGATATTTTACCATTTTATGGCCTTCGTAATTGTTGTTGAGAAGTCACCCACAGGCTCATCACTGTTCCCAGAAAGAAAATCTTGTTCATCTCTCTGGCTCCTTTTATTTATTTATTTTTAAAATATATTTTATTGATTTTTTACAGAGAGGAAGGGAGAGGGATAGAGAGTTAGAAACATCGATGAGAGAGAAGCATCAATCAGCTGCCTCCTGCACACCCCCTACTGGGGATGTGCCCGCAACCAAGGTACATGCCCTTGACCGGAATCAAACCCGGGACCTTTCAGTCCGCAGGCCGATGCACTATCCACTGAGCCAAACCTGTTAGGGCTCGCTGGCTCTTTTTAAAATAATCTCTTTATCCGGGTGCCCCCACCAAAAAAATAAAAAAAATAATCTCTTTGTCTTAGGTACACAGCAGGTTTACACTAATATGTCTTATTTCTATTTTATTTTTATTTTACTTTTATTTATCATGCTTGAGATTCAGTGAGTTTTCTATCTGAGGTTTCAGACTTACCAAAAGACTCTGCAAAATTCTCCGTCATTATTTCTTAAAATGTGACCTCTTTCCCATTTTTTGTATTATCTCCTTCTTGACAACCCAGTAGGGTGGGTATTGGACCTCCCACTCTATCCTACATGTCTCTTACCCTGTCTTTGATTATTTCCATCTCTGTACGGCTCTGGGCTGCGTTCTAGTTCATTTATTTGAACGTAGCTTTCACTTATCTAATTTTGCATCCACTAAGTCTAATCTGCTCCTTAATGTATCCATTGATTTTTTTACTTTCATTTATTAAATTTCCATTTCCCAAAGTTCTCTTTTCAAATCTGCTTTGCCATTTTTATGGCCTCTTCTTCCTTGCTCATAGTTCCCAGTCTCTGACACTCACTATGAAATGGACAGACATCCCATAGGCTCTTTATACAATGTCACTGACCCTCCCTCCACTGAGAGGTTGGGTCTGTGTTCCCTCCCTTTGAATTTGGGCGCGGCCTTGTCACTGCTCCAACCAACAGAACGTGGGCAAGGAGACGCTTTGTGACGTCAGAGGCTGGGTCACAAAAAAAGCATGTAGCTTCGGCTTAGTTCTCCATCTCTGGGATGCTCACCCTTGGAACCAGCCACCAACTGTGAGAAAGCCCAGGACACAGGTGAAGCCACATGGAGGGGAGCTGAGGACCCACCAACAGCCAGAACCTCCAGCCCTGTGAGCGCATCTCCCGCTCCTAGACTTCAGGTCTTGCCCTGAGGCTCTTGGGGTGGGGGTGGGGGAGGGTTAAGACACAGAAATAAGCCATCCCTGCTTTACCCTCCTTGAATTCCAGACACACAGAGTCTGTGAGCCTCATAAATAGCTGTTTTATGTCACTGCGTCACTCAGCTACGGAACATTAGCCAGTGTCCCTCCAGTGCCTACTTTAGGCCTGGTGCATAGTGGGTGCCTAGATACTTATCAGGTTTACCAAGCACATTCGCTAACGTATTCTTCTTCTAGCATCTACAGCCACCTCTTCAGAACAGTCCCACTCCCGGCACTGGATATCTTCATCCCTCACTGGAGCGGAGGCTCCCACTCCAGTTGGCCAGTGACTGAAAGCCCCACCCAAGTTCCTCGGAAAGTGAAGGGGTGTGGTCAGCCCTGCTTCCTGCCCTCTGGGTTCCACCCTCAAAGCCAATAAAGCACCCATCCCTCTGTTTCCCAAACAAATATTTAGATTGCCCTTGGCGGTGTGGATGCCATTTTGTGTTTCATCAGGTTCTTCCGGGACAAAAGTGACGAGGGGAGAAAAAGACATTTCCAAACAGCACCTGCCTCATCCAACCTAGAAATAAAGCCAGGAGAACCGATTTTAGGAGCGATGCCGCTGCTAAAAATAGTGCTCAGATGTGTAATGACCTTAGCAGGTACCTGGCCACGGACTCCTTCAGGAGCTGCCTGCTTTCCGAAGTGCGTCAGTGCCTCCTCCCCACACCCCACCCGGCCTTCAGTTTGGGAGGCCAGGGATGGACCTACTGACTCCATGGGAAAGGGATGGCTGAACACAGGGGAAGCCTGGGTTTAGAGTTTTCATTAGAAAGTAATAGACTTTCTGTTTCAAGAACAGAACGTCTGTCTGCATGTTGGAGAAGGAGCAGCTCTCCAGGACCCAATTAAAGGGTAAACAAGAACTACTGTAATTAGCATATTGATAGCAGTTTGATTTCTAAGGCCCCATGAAAGCATCTCTCCGGCCTCTTCACAATCCTACCTGCTTGGAGGTGATTACAGAACAGACAGAGCCCTGGAGTGCAGCGTCAGCCCCCCCCCCCTTGTGGTGGGGCTTCCTCCTACCCCCGCTTCCACCCTCTAACTGGCTGCAGCCAAAGTCTCCCTATCAAGAGAAGCGAGGCGTGGGGGTTCATCCCACCTCTCAAGCCCATTTTAGCCCTAACATTCTTTCCACGGTCTGACAAAAGAGTGAAAAATTCTCCCAAAGTGAAAAGAGCACATTTCAGACACAAAAGACCCCCAAATCTCGGCAGAGGGGGCTTCGCATGAACGACTGATTGATCTTCTGTGAACAAATCCTCAGAATAACTTGGGCAACTCCAGTCCACACTTGCTCTTCCAGGCCGCTAGCAAGCGGGCGTGCCCGAGAACCGAGAACAGAGAAGTGAAAGGCGAACACAGGCCCCCAGGGGGTGACGAGAAAGAGAGGGTGGCAACCTGCAGCTTCCAGGCCTCACATCTGCTGTGAGCGGCACACGACCCCGCCCTCGCCTGGGGCTCGTGAGCACCTCAAAGGGCTCAGCGCCAGACTCAGCACTCAGTTCTGAGCGCGTGAAAGCCGGTTCTGTGGCTCCTGCTCTCACTGCAGCGGAGGGTGGAAGGTTGGGGAGCTGGACTGTTTTGCACTCGAGACTGGTTCTGACTTTACAGAGGGGCTGATGGGATGGCAAACAGGGGCTGTCTGGGGCGGCCTTATTGCTGCAACTCTGCAGTCCAATTAAGTATATATATTTTAATTGATTTCAGGGAGGAAGTAAGAGGGACAGGGAGAGAGACAGAAACATCAATGATGAGAAAGAATCATGGATCGGCTGCCTCCTACACACCCCACACTGAGGATCAAGCCCGAAACCTGGGCATGTGCCCCGATCAGGAATCGAACCATGACCTCCTGGTTCACAGGTCTACGCTCAGCCACTGAGCCACTCCAGCCGGGCTCTACAGTCCAATTAAACACCAAATCAACGTGCTGAACAATCCACAAAAGACCAAGTTTATTGGGGCCACTCCAGAGGCAAGTCCCGGTTCAGAGCAGGCTTTTCCCTCTCCATTCAAATGCTGCTCCCGCTGCAGCCTCACGTGGAGGTAGCTCATGCCTCTGGAAGCATCTTGAAGATAGGACTTTCTGTCCTTCACACACAGTGGGCGGCCTCCCTTAGAACCAGGCTGGCCAATGAGAGAAGGATAAGCTGTTAGGTTCGGCTTCCAGAAAAGCTCCTTAAAGGAGCCTGACTCATTGAGAGAAATGCACGTCTACCCTGAGCCCTCTCTTCTTTTTCCCACTCCCTCGAATGAAAATGTGATGGCGGGAGCTACATCAACCCTCTTGGACCGTGAGATATCTAAAACAGAGACAAAAAGACCCTGGGTCCCTCATTTATGTGAGGAAAAAAGATGTTGTTCAAGCCATCCTGCCAATAACCATGATCCATAGGATGCTCTGCCTTACCACCCAAATTGCCTTTCCTAAATCCTACCCCTTAGGCAAGGCCACCTCCTCTAGGAAGCTTTCCTGGATTATACCCTGGGGAGAAAATAATTACACCTTTATTTGATCAACTGTAGTACTGTGTCCAAAGCATAGTGGTTCCTGATCAGGAGTCAGACAGACCAGGATCAAATCCAAGTTCTTCTCCTTACTAGTCATGAGACCTTGGGCAAATCATTTCACTTCTTTGAGTGTCACTTTCATCAGCTGTCAGTCGGGATAGTAACACTACCCTTGGATGACAACACAGGTAAAGCCCCTGGCATCCCATGAGCATGCAATGAGCTGGAACTTAACTTTTCCAAACATCAGCCATGTGTGAGCCCGTCATGATTGTTTTTCACCATAATCTACCACCTGTAATAGTTACCACTGTTTACTTAGTTACAGGATTTACTTGATATTTTTCTTTCTTTAACTTGGATTTTAATGAACTCTCTCTCCCAGCTTTTTTCTACTTAGCCTTTCTAAACGATATCCGATGGAACATGACCACTGTAGTTATTATTTTTAAATGGTATACACTAAAATAAATGCATAACCACAGCTCATCCGTGCACCACCTGAAATCATCTCACACATGAAGAGGCGTGCCCGCCACCCTTCCTGATGTGGTTCTGATGTATTTAGGAATGACGTGCACACGCATCTTCTATTCCCTAGCAACCGGTCTCTTTGAGGATGGGCCGGTTGCATTTATCTCTGATTAACCCAGCATCTGGGACAGAGAAGGAGCCTGTTGAACATTTGCCTAATGAGCAGGAGAACATTCCTCATAGCCGTATCAGAGACCTGGACAGAGAGCACAGCCAAATTCCATTCCAGCACATTCCAAGGGCTGTCCAAATGCTTCTGCTGTCGGGCGCATGTTCTATCAAAAATTACACATCAGAAGTGAGCTGTCAGCAGAGGAGTCTGCAATCGTTTCCACCGACATTTCCATGACCCTTAAGCAGCTTTTGCTGTAATGGGATTTGATCCGTTTCATGGCGCCCTGGCAAGGCCCGTACTGGCCAGAGAAACGTGGCAGGGACTTCGCAGGAAAGCGGTTCTTCACGGAGCCGGACAAAGAAAACCTTCCGGAGGA